AATGAGCCCAAATGAGTTAACCGGAATATGTTGTTATAGAAAAATAATGTTAATTAATAGTAAATACAGATAGTCCCCTACGTAAGAACATTCTACTTACGAACATTCCATACATGCGAACAAAATTTTTTAAATACTCAAGTCCAAAAAATTGTTTGAAAGATGTTAGCAAACTTCATATTTCCCAGGCACAAATATAGTTCATGAGTCTGCTATGCCGTGGCGCTGCCACGCTCACTCAGCTATGCGCATCACTCGCCTCAGTTGCCTGCCTTCCCGCCATAAACACGAAAGCATCTATTCACTGTGTCCTCGTGTACCGCCAATTTTTGTGCCATAATTCGCTTTACCTGTACATCAATCCATCAAAAATGTTGGGTGAGAAGAGGAAGATAAACGGTGAAACCAGTACCAAGAAACATCAAACAAATCCAAGTGAACAAGGTAAATCTTACGAGTTTCCTAATTCTTATTTCAAGCACACTATGTTTTCTGTTTTATATTTCATGTGAAAGGCTTTCATGTATATAACTGACATAGCCCTGACTTTAAAATGTGTAACTTAAATGCGAGTCTGTAACCTAGCGGTAACCATGGCAGTGGTTTGACCTCAATATACAGATGCCTAGTCATCCCAAATTTATAGACACCTGTTCAATCCCATTGATCGACACCATGTTAATCTATCCATGTTTATCGATCTTTCTCAGTATGGTATGATGTCATCCCCAGTCTAACGGACATAGGCTTTGTGTTGTGTGACGGCCCTGGTTGTGTTCTCCCCTGCTCAGTTGACCACACGCCATCTTATTGATCGGTTCGCCAGCCATCACCACTACAATATATTTTCTTTTTGAATAAATCATGTTTCTACATTAAAGTTGTATGAATCACCATTAAATAATATTAAAAGCATTACATATTACAGGTAATGTATAAGGTATGTTGTACTTATTGGGATTTATGGACAAGTATTCTTAATGTAAACAAAACTTTAAAACAATGGGAAAAAAGGTATTGGAGACCCGACTTTGGAGATACGAACAAATGAACTTACGAACAGCCTCTCGGTCCCTATTATGTTCTTAACCCATTTGCCCCTGATTTATGTTCTGTCACCTGTAGTTTTTGGTGAATTTTGTTACATACAGATGGCTCCACATGTGCTCAGCTGGCAAGGAGTCTATCAGTAGGCCCTAGTTACCGACCCTGATTTTCCCATTCATTGAATTGGCAAGAAAATTAATACCATTGCTATCGATACTGTTATTATTGTCATTGATGTTATGAATATTGAATTGTCATTAGAATATTTTAGACAATGAAATGATACAGAAAAAAACTTTCCTAAAGTAAAGGAAAATGGTAAACAGGTGAAATAGGTAGCCCTTGATAACTGCCTATTGGGTGATTAAGAACTTGTGGAGCCATCTATGTGTAAATACAATAAATAAACATGTATCAAAGTGGGTATGGCATCTATTCTTGCCACATGCGGCGAATGGGTTAAGTTAGGGACTTACTGTAATATGGTTAATGGTTACTAAGCAAAATAAATATGCTAGACATCAAAGGTCATATAGCACTATGGGAAGGTGCAGTTGTTAACCCATTGCTGTGCTCATTTTTTATATTTTTTTGTGAAATGTCTCTTACACATAGATGGCTCTGCTAGTGCTTAGCCTTACCTGATTTCACCTTTTCTTGAATTGGCAGGAAAATGTATTTTCTACTAGTGCTATGGGTTAAAATGTTAAAGAGCAGGGTGAACTGATGATTGTGTGTTACACATCAAAAATCATATACAAGTTTAGGATAGTAAGGTGTTGAAAGGGATAAAGAGGGGTGGGGGTAGAAAAGGTGAGTAAATGAGTTAAAGAGAGATTAGATCAAATGAAGGCAAAATTGGTATTTCACAAGGATATCCATGGGGTAAGGCAGGGATTCATGATAGGGGAAAGGAGTTGAGGCAATTAGATCAAAGAACAGTTTCATGAGAAATACTGTAGATGGGGTAGAACATTTAGACTGTCAGATGTGGTGAATAGATCGAGGAGTAGGAAGGGGTAGACAGTAAAATCTCAGACATGTCGCTTTGCAACAAAAAGTTATTTTTATTGCCCCTACTGCCATCCTGTCACCTCCCTACTTTTGCCTCACCACTGCCGGGGGGGAGGGGGGAGGTACTGCTTTCATTGAGAACCACTGTTCTACAGAAAAAGAAAAAAAATATATATATATTTATAATAATAATAATAATAATATAAAAAAGATTGTAATTTGAAATCATTATCTTTTTATGATTAAATTACTAGAACAAGGAAGACATCGTCAAGGACAGTCCCTTAATCAATTAAATGCAATATCAGAGGGTTTGCTAGGGCAGCCAACTCAGCCACCCACAATCAGAGTTAACCCATTGCTGCCGGGGAAAATGAATAAAAAATGGGGAAAATACTGTACTCTTTTTTTATATTTTTGTGAAATATCTCTATACATAGATGGCTCTGCTAGTCCCAATTTCACCTTTCCTTGAATTAGCAGGAAAAAACGTATTCTTACTAGTGTTATAAATATAGATGGTGTTATATTTAAAAGCAAATTAGGATAAAGTTAATTATTTTTGTAAATCATTGTGAATGGGCAAGACAGGCAGTACTCGTAATTGGCTCACTAGTGACTTAGTACAAGTGTAGCCATCTATGTGTAAAAACAATCGAACAAGTTGACTCACAGTGGGCATGTCATGTACGTACATGCCATCCCCGGCGGCAATGGATTAAGCTGCAGCCACACTGACTGCAATGCAATGCTGCAATCTGCTGCAAAGAGGCGAAAAGGAGTAGCCACAACAGGCACAAGCGAAAATGGGAGTTGTTCGGGTAACCAGGAAAGATTTATTGATGTTACATTACTTTTAACAAGTAACAACACATCCCTATATTTATTAGTTACAGATATAAATACGATAAATGTAAGTAATCTATGATAAATAGAGATACGACTATCTATGTACATTCAGAGGGAGTCTCAGACCAATTGTCCGACAGTGTTTATTGAATGTTTTGTCAATTTAGACATTCATCTATATCATGAGCATTGATATATTCATGTTAATGCACTCTATATCAAGTTTGTAATGCATGATTATCTTAATCAGTAATTTATTATAAACAATTATTCATGGTGAATATTAAATTTTATGGACGTGATATGCCATCATTATTAACCAATTATTACTATTACTTATCAAAGTAAACACAAAATTGTAACTCCTAATTTATCCTCAGTCCTCATCTACATCTGAGCAACAAATATTCTATCCCTATGCTTCTTATCTGCAGCATTCCAATGTATGAGGTTTGAAAAACCTAGGTATTAAGACTCAACACCAACTACCAGTAGCCTACTTTGCATGAGTAAAGTTAACTGTCAACTTCTCCCACCAGGCTTTTTGTGAAGTCACACAGGATCGCAGTGTGGACACAATTAGCAAGAGACAAAGTTTCTTAAGCATTTCGTTTCGCCTCACATTCCTTTGCATTTGGTTTGGCCGCTGCCTTAGACAAGCAGGAAAAGATGTTTTCTTGTTTTTTATACATGTACTGTATTATTGACATTTTCTGACTATAATAAAACCTTTTCTATTTTCTGATTAGAAAGTTTTCCTTATATAAAGTCATAATAATTTGCATTTTATGCAGGGAACCTTCTATTCTTTGAACTCACACTTTTCACTTCTAAAATAATAACCCTTTTCTTCTTTTTTTTTGCATGAAAAACATGATTTTAAGTGTGGTGTGCATGTGGTAGAACCTTCCCTCCTCCATAGCATTGGTACCTTAGGGTGCCCAGGGCCTCAATGCAAGAGAAGTTCTGGAAAGGGAAATAGAGTATTCATTCCACAGTGCTTTCCAATTTTAATATCAGATTAACCCATTGCCGCCTGGGAAAATGAATAAAAAATGGGGAAAATGCTGTGCTCATTTTCTATATTTTTGTGAAATTTCTCTGCACATAGATGGATCTGGAGTCAATTAGTAGACCTTGTCTCCTTACGTGATTAGAATTGGCGGAAATAATGTAATTTTTACTAGTGCTATGAATATCAATGGTGTTATTTTTATTATAAGCATTATAATTATTATAATGTTATAAACATTAGTAACAGTAAAATAAGATAACGTAAAATATTTTCGTAAATCAAAGAAAAGGGTAAACGGGCAAGACAGGCAGTACTCGTAATTGCCATCAATGTGTAAAAACCATCAAACAAGTACTCACAGTGGGCATAGCACGTATGTACTCATCATGCCTGTTGGATTGGGTTAATGTAAAAATGGCCTTGCACATTAGGGCTATGTTTACAAAAAAAATGTAGATACTGATAGCAAAAAATGATGGAATGTAGACTTGCCTAGGTTGTAGAATAATGCACCATAACACTTGGACTTCTTAACAGGTGAACACTTGGACCCCTTATTTGGTGCTTACATCTAAAAAGTCCAATTGTATCATACAATACCCATTTGGAGCTGGGGAAAGAGCTAACACTGTACATGAGCATGGAAGTGCCCTGGCTTAATATATATTTCTATCTCATTGTTTACCCTTTTCCATGATAAAAAAAAAATCTGGGATCTAATATTGCTGTTAGTAATGTCAATATTACTATAATAATTATAATGTCTATAATAAAAACAACAGCAGCAGTATTGATAGCATTATTAAAAAAATGTTTTTCCATCCAGCAGACTCAAGGAGAGGTGAATTCTGGTAAGGTCACAAGGTCAACTAATTGAATCTTTTGCAGCTAAGCAAAACAATACTATAGTATAAAATGGTCTACTTGGATCATGAATACCTTCAAGATACTACTTCATTAATATTTTACTATAGACACCGTCTTAGGGACATAAGGGTGATAATCTACAGGTCTTGTAAACAAAGGCACCCCTATGGTCTATGCTGGGTCAGCAGGGTAGGGAGTGGCCAGGGCA